TGAACATTATTTTTTGATAGTTTTTGAAAATTGGTCTTGACAACCTGCTCAATTTCAATCTTGATTGAAATTTTAGTGATGGGTGCAGGGTTTGGTTAGAGAAAGTTTCCCTTTAACATTGAATCTTGTTTTTGTAACTGAAGGTTTTGATTGGGTTTGGTTTGCTTCACAGTGATTGCAAATGGTCTTTGTAAGCAGCTGTGCTTGAGTATGTTTCCTCACTTGCTTAGAGTTGATTGTGTAATTGAACCTAGTTGTGTTATGGAAAAAGCTTCAGAAGTCGGATGTAGCAAATTTGTGGAATGGGAAACTTTGAAGAGGGAGCATAAAGCATATGCATTTCTAGCTCAAGCCTGCTTGTCATTTCCTTTTGATGATTGCATTAAGGATGCAATAAGTGCTTCTAGCACTGATAATTATCCAGAGGAAAGTATTTGTAACACTCTGCGAAAAGGGGACCGTGTCGGAAGGAGAGCTTCGTACTGGTCAAGTAAAGGACAGCATAAGGCTGCAGTACCTGAGACACTAGTGTATAAACTGGTTGCTGATATTTGTGTTATTACTGAAATTAACATACAACCTTTTCAAGGTTATTCTTCTGTTAATTTCATCAAATTCATTCACTCTCTCAGTTTGTTCTGACCTTATAGTTGTCCTTTATTGAGGTATCATATGTTTTTATGTTCAGCTTATTTTCAGCAGGGTTCACCTATATATTCAGCAGCATCTGTGCGGTTTCATTTGGGTCATCCCAAGTGCCCAATGGATGATACTTTGGGTGAACCCTTGGATAACTGTGCTGATGACAAGTTCATTTGGACTTACTCTTCACCGGAGTTTCCAATGGCCCAGGTATGTCATGCCTGTCTTCCATTTTTTTAATCTCAGTGATGTTGCTCTGATTTTTTTTTCCTTCTTAACAAAAACGCTACCCATATCAATGTGGCCATGGAACTGCATATCAATTCTATAAGTGGAGCTTGCATAAAGAACTATAGTTCAGTGAACTATCAATTGGCATATGAAAAGGTGCAGCATTCTATTTTCAGGCATAGTAGATGGATCTGTCTTAGTTACTTTTGGAGGAAATTTTAGCGATCTAAGATGGACATGGAGTTGGGATCCAATATTTACACTCGGCAGCATGCACCTGAGTTGATTACTTATTGCAGGAAACCTTGAAAGACTAAATTAAACATTGTAGTGGCCAAGTTTTTTGCAAACAGCGCTCTTGTATTTACAACCAGGGATGTTCCTAAATAATAAGTAACACGATCATGAACCATATACAGTGGCTGACTTTGTCTCTTTTTTTAGCCTGTTTGATAAAATAACAAGTGCAAACTTTTTGAGAACGCTGCATGGTAACTTAAGACCCCATAGAGCTGTCTTCATGCGGCAGGAAATGCTTTTTTATTGTAGAATTTTCTCGAAAGAGAACACTATTTGTCATTATATGATCGAATTCTCAACAGAAATCCTAATTCGTCAGAGATCCTGAACAGGAGAGCAGATTGCAGAACTTCAAGCTTCCAGAACCTGTTGTTTGCATTGGTGGAATTTTGCAGATTGAGCTGTTGAGAAGGGTTCAGAGGCAAGAAATGGATGGCTTATTCTATATATGGTTTGTTCAACTCACTATTCTTTAGCAGTTTGGTTTTGGTGTCCATATATATATGTATGCTCCACTCACATAATAGTGGGACCCATGAATAGTTATCATAGCCAGTCCCACTTTGATGTGAGTGGGATCACTCCTCCAGCGTACCTCATAACAACAACCCCCCCCCCCCCCCCCCCCCCCCCCCTCCGACCTTCAAAAACACCCCCCCCCCCCCTTCTCATGGCGTGCCAATCTTCTCAATAGGATCCTGGAATATTTTCATATAATATATTTTATTCAACTGACCAGGCTCGACTCCCTGCATGTGCATAAAATGTGATGATGCTAAGTTGTGGCCAAATCTGTGTTGTGGGAATAAAATAGAAACCATATTTACTCAAATTAAGACTCTGGGGCATCGGTTGGTTTGGAAATTGATATTTTTTTCTCAAAATTTTACTCAGCCTTAATAATATCAGAAAAATTAAGAGAAATAATTCCTTAATGCAGAGTTGTATGCAACTTAAGACTGCGGGCTATAATGCACAGTTTCTGTTTTTAATGCATTTTCTTGTGATATTTCAGTGTGGCTCATGTTCAAGTTAAAGGCAGGCCATTATCATCAGCATTTGGTGTTGAAATCCTTGGACCTTCTGGAAAGTTTGTATTGAAAGCCCTGAGTAGTGCACCACCAAGTTCACCACCACCAAGTTTACCTGAAGATGACGCCTTATATCATGGTGTGCCCAGGCATGGACTTGCTGATTTGGAGCAGGTTGTGAATGGGTTGGGGGTCGGAGTACTAGATGAAGATTGGAACTCAGACGATGATGAAGGGGCCGATGAAATGGATGATGAGTTAGCTTTCTAGGCCTGTTACCTATAATAATTATAACCTTTCTTTGTTTATTTTACCAGACTTCTATGAATTTGGGCTGAATAACAAGTCGGTGTCCTGATCTCTCAAAAGCCAGAGTGACTGCGCTGGAAACCTTCCAAGCTCTTTCTACCAAGGTGGTGTATAAGCCATGTATATTCTAGATAAAATATGGGTCTTTTATTAAACTAGCACAATTTAATAAAAGTTTTTAAAAAACAGGTTATCAGAGAAAAATATTTGGAAAATAGCATACTTTTAACCTCACTGCTATTAAAAAACATGGCTTTATTTACTGTCATTAGCTGTTGTAAACACCCACTAACCAACTGTTACTGGTAATAGTAGTTGTGGGAAGCCGCATGGTCCATCTTAATATTTTATATAAAACAAGCAAAACAAAACTATAAATTATAAATTCATAAATCTATAATTGAAATTGAAGCTATTTCAACATTATATTTACTTGTTAATTAAAATTTGAAATTAATGCATGTGTTTTTAACATTGTTTTTATTTATGTGTATTTTTAAAGTTGTTAATAATCTTAAATAGTATGTTTACATGTTTATTTGTTAATTAATAATATTAAATTATGTAAACTAAATATAAAAATACATAATATATAAGATAACTTTAAAATCAACATGATGATTAGTAAAGGTAATATTATAAAAGTAGTAATAATAAAAATAATTCATAACTAGAAAAATAATATAACATAATTATATACAACATAATAATATATTTGAGTCTAGATATGTTTTTTGCAATATATAAAATTTGTAATACATCTTACCCAAATCCTATATAACAAAAGAAAAGGTTTGATATATGAACATGAATTATAGGGTCATTAAAACAATAATTAATTATATTCTTAAATAAAAAATAAATATGCATTTTCATTTCATATGACCTCCGATCTATGCAACCCCTGCAACCTAGAACATAAGAATTAACTGGACTAGAATTCATGTATTCATGTATTGAAAAACTCTACGTGTAAATGAAGATAACACGTCCCGTATATATGGTATCCTAATAAATTATAACTATAAAATACAAAATATAATTCAAAATTAGAAAATAAATATTATAAACAAATAATTAAAATTAAATAATAATAAATAGACATGTCATTGTCTAACTTAATACATAAGTTGTTTGTATTCACAAGTTTTTTTTGTTATGCCCCATTTATATTGTGAATGCCCCTCTCTCGCGTCTATTTCATTGTGCAACTGAGTTGATTTTTGTTGACCCCGACTGGTTTCTTGAAGAATCTGGATATACCTAAGGATCAGTATAATCATTCCATTCTAATTCATCAAGTAAGGGATTGAATGGAGTGCCATGGATGCTCTTATACAATTGCTAATTATCTCCTAATTACTGGAAGAAGAAAAAAGTACAGCTTTTCCGTCTTTGGGTATGGAGGTATGGGTGTGTCTTTGGCCTTCCATCCATAGAGCATATTCGTGGCTTAGTAGTAAATGCATTAATTTCGTTCACTGTAGATTTAGAAATTCTCACAGATCTCGTGGTGGTGTCGATTTTTCTTTTCAGTTTCTAGTCACAATGGGAATGATCTCACTTTCAGGTTTTGCGGTTGAAGTTATTGCTCTCAAAATCACAATCATGTTTAAATAAAAAGAATGTTTTGCGCACTCCATTCCTGAAGCACTTGAGGGCAGCCATCTGTAGGCACCACTAACGCTGGCTGACATTTAAGGTAGCTGAAACGTTGAAGCAGCAATCAAAGATTCTGTGTTTTTCAAAATCTTGCTTGTACTTTGTTACCTGTTCCTACGTTATAGTTGAAGATGATTTTGTAAACATGAGATAAAACTTCAAAATAACTTTTTGCCCTAGTGATTTCCTGTTTAGAATTGAAATTAACCTTGTTTTTCATCAAAATATAATTTTTTTTGTTTTGAATTAAAAAAATTTAGAGTTTCTGGATTTTTTTATATACTAATATAAAAAAAATTAAAAATATTATTTCAATACATTTTCAAACAAAAAACCATTTTAAAAAACAAAATTTACCACACCCCACACCCAATAAATTTGCCAGTGCTTTCAGAGTCATCCTATTCACAAAATTAAAGAATCAGGGCATACTCGAAACAAATTGAAAAATCTTGAGGATTTGTATTAGCAACATAACTAATGTTCAAAGGGATACCATCCCGCTCAGGTGATGTTTGGCCAGGAAGGTCGAGACCCGGCCATAATCATTTACACAAAAATTATGAAAGCATGTGAATGCAGCTTGATGGGCACTTGAAACGCCAGAAATGGAAAAGCCAAATAATAGTAACCCAATATAGGCACGCACAAATGCATGGTCTTGTAGAATTCATTGAAGTGTAAACTGTAAAGTCCACCCAAACCAAACATCTGCAGATCAGCTACATTGTTTGTAGTGTTAACTACTTGCGTGTTTGTTTACCCGGCATCGTGCCTTATTAACAAACACTCTTTACCACTTAAATCTGAAATGCAAACGAGAGATGAAATTGGTGAATTATTATTTTGCTAATGCAAGAGATTTTAATGAACTGTGAATTGTGACAACAAGGGTGCTGAATATAGTGAAAATTAAATAGGTAAATGAACCTAATGCAAGAGATTGTAATGAACTGTGAATTGTGACAACAAGGGTGCTAAATATAGTGAAAATTAAATAGGTAAATGAACCTTCTAGGTCACCCTCAGGATGACTAGTAGCTAACAAAGCTTACACAAATAAGGATTGGTCACAAGGTTCAAGTAATTATTTAGATGACATTTAACTTGTTGAGCAGAACGGTGGTGTGTCTTCAAGTTGTCTTAGACTTTTGTGGCGATGGAAGCAACTGCACGTCACAAGAAGAAATACATTCAGTGAACAGAGCACATACCCACCGATAACTTTGTGAAACTACAATTTTGTTTTAAAATAAAAATCCAATCACAGCAAGTTCGACCAAGCAGTGCTTTAGTGGGCAATACATAGCTAATCTCAAAGAAGTAAATTAATATACTGATGATTTCCTGATTAACAATGAGAGCAAAGCATGCAAAGAATTAGTACCTGGTAGCAAGAGATAAGAGAGCTAACAAACCCAAAAGCTCCTGTAACTCGAGGAGTGACTTTCTTGGGTGCCAATTGAAGTAGCCCAACAGCAACTACAATGTCCATGGCTGATTTGACAAGGGCTAGTGACCTTTCATTTGATTTTTTAAGTTTAGCACGGTATTGCTCATTCTGCAGTCAAAAAGGACCAACAAAAAATAACCATTACATGGAAGCATTTAAAACAATCAGCCTGCTAAAACAATGATATCCATACATGATTTTTTTCACCATCCTTAAGCTCCTTCTCCAACTTCTTCATTGATGCAGAGAGCCTGCCAAGCTCCCCAACCTGATGTGAACATGGTAAAACATGTCATAGAAACCATCTTCAGCTTGCAAAGTATGAGGTAATTCACCCATGTCAATTTCTAGGAACAGAATAGAAAAAAAATGAAGACGCTACAAACCTCAACCAAAGTAGTACAAATTGAGGATCCCATCCAACAGAAAAGGGAAATCCGGCCAATTAGCTCAACACGTTCTTTGTTCTGTAAAAATCAAGCTAACTCATGTTTCTGGCCAATGCTTCTCATAGAATTTCATTCTGAAACATAAATAACCAAAAATAGAGTGGAGCATTCCGTACCTTGTAAATTCCACTTCTACCCAGCCAAACAATTTGATCAAGAAACAAGAAAGTTGACAACAACGCATTTTTAGACTGAAATAAGCATCAAACTGACAAAGTGACCACCATGAAGATAACGAAGATGTCACAGAAACATTTTTACTGACAAATCATGTACCTTTCCCAGTAAAACAAGAGGCAAGGGGGTCCCTTGAGGAACTGGACTAATAAGACCGTGCAGATCGTTGACAAACTGTAATTAGACAAGGTCAATAAGCATGATAAAATTTCATTCATTCTACTAGTTCTTTCTACGAACCAAATGGACAACCAAATTAAAGGACTTTTGGCTTCCATTTACCGAACAAATACACATGGTTTTGGTTGCAGAAAGAAATACAGGAAAGAACCTCTTCGTTTCCTAGATTTGAAGGGATATAAAGAAAGCCAGATGAAATCCAACTCAATCATATCTAATAAGTACATTATAAGTCTTACCTTAAAAAGACGGAAAACTTTCCGAGCTAAGCTGGTTGATTTGTCAACATTTTGGGCGGTACCAGGCTGTCCATCGCTCAAGAATTTTGAACCATATTGAATTGCCCGACAAATCTTGTCCCTGGCTTCAGCCTTATTCAGATACAGAACTATAAGAGCAAGTTCTGCTCTAGTTGCATCGAGTGTACTCATCTTTTACCCGGATCAAACCTGCAAAGTCAAATACTGAACTATTGTTAGAACTCAAGAAATAATAGAGTTCAACAGCATTGAACATAGACAAGGCACATTCTAACACGACAAAAGTGAAAAGAAATACATCAACAAAACCCAGAAAATTCATCTATAAGGCAAGAAATACTCAGCCATTTTCTGTTTGCGACAAAGGCTGTCTCTTCAGACTTTTATGCTCTCTTTGATGAATCATAGACAAGCAACACATGAGATTTTCTTTAACAGCGAAAACCAATTCCAATTGGGTATTGTAAGATCCTGTCATAGTTTCTTGATGAATCGCCAAACTCACGTAACTATTACATCCTTAACGAAATCAACGGTCAAGAAACAATTCTCAATTTAGCTACAATCAGATTCTCAAACTCTTGTAAAATTACAGATTGTATGCTTTTTCCCTGGCTAGCACGGAAATAGAAGTAATAAAAGAAACTTTCAATCAGGATTCAAGCCTGAATTAATGTTATTGACCTGAACAAAAATCTCTTACCTAACTTAGCCCATATCAAGAAAAGAGGACAATAACAGTCGGAATCAAAGAAGCAAACTCTAGTTATGCACCTAACAATCACTTCCCAGAATCTAACAGAAAGAAATCAACTTTAGAACAGCCAATTAAAATTAAAGATACCAAACAACCTCAAGCTCATCAGCGATAAAGTTACAGAGATGCAAACAAGAAAAGAAAAAAAGAAAAAACATGAACATACTCTTAAAAAAGAACAAAGTTTTCTCCTCGAGAAAACCTCAAAGAAAGCAGAGGTCACCAATCAGACAAAAGGGTTAGCAAATCCACTATTTCTATGGAGAAAAAGAGAAGGCGGGGAGATAGAGAGAGAGTGTACAATACCGAAGGGTGTGCCCAGATGGATATAGCCTCCAAATTCACAATCTTTTCTTAGCTTTTCTCTCTCTAAAAAAGCATTTAGACTTTGTTCTTTAAAAAGATAGAATTGGCTAATGCGTCAGCAACCGGTCTTGTTTCGGTTTCTAAATTTCTAATTTCTATAACAGCTAATGATAGAAGACCATGACAAGGCCGTGTTTGGTGCTCTCTTCCCCAGTACTAGAAAACAAAATTAATTTATTAGGGTCTCTTTTATCCACTGTCTTGTGTATGCATGGACTTCAATGCTTGACCACCCTTCATCATAAGATCCTATTGGTTATCACAGCTACCGCTCTGATCAAATTACGTGTCAGGCAGGAAATTGTTTGTGGGATCACTGATGTGTATATGTAGATAAGCTGCTTCTAGACAGTGCGGTGGCCTTTCACGCAACTCAATATGGGAATTGTTTGTTAAGAATGTGGGCCAGCCCAAAACTGCTCCGAGGACAATATACTAGCCCACTGATCTCTTGTTGGGCTCTCTAGAGGATTTTTGGTGATGATGGTGTCCATCTTTTCTTCCTTTTTGAGAGCTGATGATAGAGATTTGTTAAAATTTATTTATTTTTATTTTTAAATTGTTTTAATGTATAGATATTAAAAATAAATATTAAAAAATATATTATTTTAATATATTTTTAAATAAAAAATACTTTAAAAAACAACTATAAACACAGAGGATACTCTCCAATTAGTACTATTTTCAACTTCCGCTTTCCTAGAAGAGTTTATGCATAAAATAACTTTTTTGGGGTATTAGTATTAAAAAAACAGTGTCATCCGATCAGCTTTCAAATGTTGGAATTAGGTCATTTCTCCAATAAATTTTAAGCAAATCATTTACATCAGGAACAACGTATTTTTTTAAATGGAGTTATTTCTAGGATCTAAAATTAAATCAGAAGTAGAGGGAAAAAGGGGCATGGTTTGTTAAGACATCCCATGTCAGCCGCTAATTCATATGAAACCGATGGATGCTTAGAGTAGAAAGGTAACATGGCGGTGGGGCTAAGAACTGGGTGCCTTGAGCCTGTAACCAACAGCGTATCTTCAACGAGGTCATGTTTATGTCTTCAAGTTTGCCAGTGCATTGCTAGCACAAACGGAAACAGAAACGAAGCCTTGGAAATCTTTTACCAGAGGTAAGATCTTTGACTGCATTCATATCTTCAACGATTAGGTTGTGATTGCATAATACAAATCACATAAAACAAAAGGGGAGGCCTCGCCTTCTCGTTTCATGTAATATTCAAATCTGCAATAATTGGTTCGCACTACTTTTCAAATGTAACATGGCAAAATTAATTGAAACCAAGTTTTATCCATAGCTTTCAAGTTCTGACCCGAGTTAAAACCCGGATAACAAATTAAACATAAAATCCATGGGGCCAGACATATGATTGCAACAGATAAATGGCAAAACAGAAAGGAGAAGACATGGGGCCAGAAATATGATTGCAACAGCGCTGTCCACGTGCAAAATATGAAAGCTAGAAGAAGGCAAAGAAGCTGCATTCGAGGATTCTTACAAATTTTTATAAATAGAACATTAACTGCATGGTTTAGCCACACTTTTGAGTGCCCCAGCTCGTCGTTGACTAGTTTGTTTCATACAGAAAATGAAACACTGAATAGATGAAAGAAAAAGGGGAAGAGAAGTTATCATACACAAAAGTAGATTTTCGTTTCTCTCTATTTCTTACTGAACAAACTCCTTAATTTTCCTCTTTCTAGTCGCTCAAGTAGCTTCTTTGAGCCCGGGATGTCCATCTCAGTAAGCTTCTTGAGATATCCAATTGCTCCATAGGAAATCATCAACTTCTTACACTTCTTAGTCGAAGCAAGGGATGCAAGGGAAGCTACAGCATATTTCTTTGCCGTGTTCTGTGGGATCGGATCGAGCAATTGCACTAGATTTGGCACACTTTTATCATCCCTTTTAACTACTCTTCGATTCTGTGAAAGGGACACCAAACTCGAGATTGCTTGTGCAGAAACCTCTCTAGCACTGTTCGATTTAGCCTCGAGTAATTTGATAAGAAGAGGGATGCACCCAGCTTCCCCCACTAATTTTTTCATCTCTGCTGATGTGCAAACCCTGCAAATTGCAGATGCAGCAGCTTGCTGGGCACCCAGTGATCCAGATTTGAGCACGTGAATCAAACGGGGGAGGAAACCATAAGATATCAGCATTTCTGTAGAAACTGAGCTAACCAAATTCCTTAGCGCCCCAACTGCAGATTCCTGGGGTAGCGGACCATCAAGATATACCAATAGGCTTCGAATTCCACCTTCTGAAATAACAGCTCTTTTCAGATTGTCATTGCTGGCAGTGAGATTCTGCAAGCATTCTGATGCATATTCTTTTGATCCCAGTAAAATCCCGCAGTCTAGGAGATTGATCATTACCTTCACGATTCCCTCTTCTGCTAGATTTTGCCGAACCTCAGGGACAGCTGAGATATTCTTCAGTGTGCAAGCAGCAGCAGCCTGTGATACAGAATCACCAGTTCGACAGATCTCAATCAGTGGTCGAATCCCACCATGACCAACAATTGCCCTGGCTGTTTCTGCTGACATTGACAGTCTCTGGAGAGAAATTGTAGCCTTCTCTTTACCCAACGTGCTACCTGACTCAACAAGCCTTATGAGAGGTGGCAGAAGACCCTCTGAAACAAGCCAATTCTCACAGCTTCCGGATTCTGCAAGTGAGCAGATTACAGTAACAGTCTTTTCTCGAATACGAGGAGAAGTTGCTGTTAACAACTGGACTAAAGCAGCAATATTGCTCCGCCCCAAAACAGCTAAAACAGCCTTCTCGTCCTCTTTCATGACCTCAGCAAGTGTATCAAGAGCTCTGTGCTTCGCCTCCAAGTGCCCAATCTGAAGCCGGGCAAGCAATTCCCTTGTATTGCTGTGAATAGCAGCCTCGGGTTCTGTTGATGAGCTAGCCACAGCTAAAGGCAAAGTAGCCTCGCCAAGCACCCCGGTCTTAATCAAAAGCCCACAGTCTCGTAAATTCAAATCCAATTTACCAGATAACGCATCAAGATCACTCTGCATCCTCAGCTTACCCCCATAATTCTCACCCATACATAAGCCTGCCAATTCAATTGCTTCTTTGAGCGTCTTTGACACAGCCTGCAATTGCTCCTTGCAAAGAGAGTTCTTGGAGAAGCAAGGGTGGCTTGACAAGTCCGATAAACGCGATGGGATCTGCTCCAACTTGGAAATTATCATCTTCCATCTACCAGGAAAGCCCTTAACCTCCCTGGCCTTGTCAACGGCTACAGGAACAAGCTCTTGTGCATGACATAACCAGTCTTCAACTGACTGAATATCAACCACAACTTCTTTCCCTCTATCTTCCACCATGATTTCTAATGTGTATGGATCAAATTGGTTACCAGAGCCGCAACAACTGAATTAAAAAGAAAACCAAACCTTAAAGCGATGGATGACCTGGGTGTTAAGAAATGAGAAAATGAAATGATATTTGCATAGAAAATTCAAAGGCAGTGGAGCAGTTACAATCATCATACATAAATTATAAACTAAGGCTACTGGTTTTTTAAAATAAACCACAAATAAAAAAACAAATAAGCCAACATCAAGAGCCTTGAGAATCTTGTATGATCGCACAAAGTCTGTTTCACTGAAAACAAGACCTGACCAACCAAATCAAAGTACCCTTGAAGATGCTCCAGCAAGTCATTTCCGTAGCTTTTAAAGTGGTCATTAAACGCCAACCAAAACTAACCAAATTAATGCATATCCCACAAATTGCTAAACACAAAACTGTTCTGATTTATTATGGATCGAATCATGAAAATGAAAGAAGCTACTTTTTAACGACTAAAAAATATAGCCCTCCTTTTAAGACATAACATTATGCAAATACCAAAACACCCTTTTGAGCATCACCTTAAGCTATACAACTACTGCAGGATTGAGTGGAAGAAAGTAGCAGTGGGTGTGAAGGGTATACTGGGAAGTGAAGAAAAAAATTCTGAAACTTTACTTTTCAACCATGAAGAAGGTAGAACATGGGTATCAGATTTATCTTCTAAGCTTTCTTAAGGTGATCTTGATTGATATCCAATGGTCAAGATTTCATTTTTGGAGAGAAAGTGGATTCTTGGCTGTGTATTGCCATTTTTATCCTCATAGATAGAGCTAGCTAGCTAGCTGGTTGAGAGAGTGAAGAAAGAGACTTTCCTTTGAAGAGAAGATACAAGTCTCTATCTACAGTTGTGATATACATCAAGTGTATTTAAATTCTTCAGGATATTATAATCGATAGACCAACCGCACTATGAATTTATTTTTATTTAGAAAAAAATCCAAATCAATAAATGCAAAAATATATACCTCAATTTGTCTTGACCCTCGTCAACATTCAAAGACCTCTACAATTCAAAGCCCTTCCTGTTTCTACAAGAACAATATAATACAGTACGATAATCGAACCATCAAATATGTGAATTGACGGATTTTTAGAAACCAAATAAGATAACCCAGTAAGAAAAAAGTAAAGGGGCAAAAAAAAAGAAAGATCACTTCTTTTTTTCCGAAGAGGATCATAAAAGGCAAACAAAATCCACTCCTAGAACCAACCTTTAAGCCTCAGGAATCAGAACTTGTCATTTCTCTCCAGAAAGCAACCACCACCCACAGTGTAGCTTGATCTTCAAACTTTTCTCCCCTTCTCTCTCTCAGTTGAAACAAGAACTCAAAGCAAGCACGATAACTGCCTTCAAGACTCAAACTTTATGCAAGCAAGAATTAAGTAGTGCCTCCAGAATAAACAATGAAAACAAGTTTTATATTAAAAAAACAAAAGAAACCCAATAACACTTACCAGAAATGAGAAATGCCCAGAATTCGCTTTTGTTTGAATATAGAGAAACCGACATCAAACGGTCGAGATCAGTGTAAAAAACAAATAAAAAAGAAAAAACCAAGACACCGAGCAGGTCAAGTTTGAATGAACTCACTACCAGACACGAGAGACCATGATAAATATAGTAATCACGGTCTCATTCAAAAATCAAACTGTCTCTCTCTCACCAGAACTGTTTCTCTCTCTAAGCTACTGGTAAATTTTTAGAAGCAAATGTGTCAGTCACTCTGTCTGCTAAAAAAACATTATTTTACTCCGTAG